AATATGTTACAAATAAACACTGAACATACTCCTTTTACGAAAATGCGCTCAGTTTATCAGTCGAAGTTCACATATGTAAAGAATGTTACACACAGAAGATGACAAAGCATTTAATTGCAGATACACGAGTGATCACTATTATATTCAGATAAGGAAGAGAAAAGGATGGTTTGGCCCTAATCATGACGTCCTATTTCAGGCATGACCTGCTGCATACCACATTGTGGTTCAAGCAGACGGAAGCCAGGTCAAGAAAGGAACTTTGCACTCCACGAAATACCATCAGACCCGGATGAACGAGCGAGCTGGCTACAAGCAATCAAGAGAGATGACTGGCTGCCATCAACCTACTCCATGGTTTGCAGTCAGCACTTTGTGCCATCCGACTATGTTGAGGGCAAACGCCGAAAGCTGAAGAAAGGCGCTATCCCAAGCATCTTTTCGAGCATGCCGCCTTCAAATATCACTAAGATGAAGGACGCTATCAGAAGGAAGTGCAGCACTCCATATTCATCAGAAGTTCCCAAGAAGAGGCAATGCCTGGACACAGGCAGTTCGCAAGTGACTGATGCGACATCAAGCTCTACACTGGACACTCCACCGACCTCCTTTCTGTGCAATGAAGGTGCTGAACGAATCCAAATCATCTGGACATCTCCAGCGAGCACCTTGGAGCCTCAAAACAGGCAGGCATCAGAAGTGCCAGACAGCAGGCCATGCCAACAGCCAGTGCTGTTCACCCATCAAGGAACACAGGCAAACGTTCGAAAAATGTCAGCACAACTAACCGTAGAGAAACGTAGATGGACCCGACGAGTCACCACCCTGCGAAACCAAGTGGAGAGACTCAAGAACACGGTTGACAGATACAAAAAAGACTTGGAAAAGTTGCGAAACCTGAGGGAAGAAGATGATGTCACAAATTTTCTTAACATCCGTGAACAAGCAAAGGAAAAGAACATATTGGCTATGTTTCTAGTCAACCAAGTAAAGAACTACCACAAGAAAAGCCCAAGGTGGACAGAACATACCATCCGTCACTGCATTTTGCTGAGACACATTTCTACGAAGGCCTATGAACACATAAGGTCTGAAGAGCTTTTTAAACTTCCCAGCAGGAACACTCTGCAAAGCTACATTGGAGCTGCCTCAGGTCAAACTGGCTTCAGCGACTTGGCGAAGGCTCGGCTTCAAACAGAACTACACAACCTGGCAAACACACAATCAAGGACATGCTCTCTCATTATTGATGAAATGCAGATCAAACAGAGCTTGCAGTACAACAAGCAGCAGGATGTCTTTGTGGGCCAAGTGGACCTGGGACCATTGACTGAAAAGACCAAGCAGCCCATCCTGGCAAATTCGCTGCTGTGCTTTCTCATGAATGGGCTCAGCATTCCATACCGGATCCCTGTTGCCTACTTTTTTACCAAAGGGTTAACAGGGACCGAACTGGCCAAGCTTCTGCTTCATGTCTTGGGCAAGGTGGAAGACGTTGGCTTCAAAGTACTCCGGATTGTAACTGACAATCACCGAGTGAATGTCAATGCAATGAAGCAGCTTTGTGGGGGACTCCTTACACATCATATCCTGCACCCAAATGACCCGGAGAGGATTCTGTTCCTTAGCTTTGACTATGTTCACATCTTGAAGAATATACGGTCCCAATTCCTGGAACGCAACTTTGGAAAGGACAATGAGATCAAGTCCTTCTACCTCAAGAAGTTGTACGAGCTCCAGAGAGAGGCGGCTGTCAAGCCAGTCAGGTTCCTGAGTCGCAAACATCTTTTCCCTAGCAACATAGAGAAAATGAATGCCAAGAGAGCAGTCCAGCTCTTCTCCCCTGAAGTGACAGCTGTGCTCAAGCACCTCCAGGAACAAGCTGGCCATACGAGTGACCTACTGTATGCGGACGCAGGACCAACCATCTTCTTCATGGACTCTGTGTACCGCTGGTTCATTTTGCATGATACCAGTAACTGCACACAACACATACACCAACGCTACCCAGATGTGCGCCAGTATGATCACCCAGACGACCCTCGTCTGGAATGGCTCGAGTTTTCATTCCCAGCCTATCTCGAGCAGATCAAGAGCACGGCAAGCCCATCACAGTTCCTGACGACAGAAACCTACGAAGCCCTTCTCTTGACAACATACTCGACAGTTGCATGTGTACAACACCTTCTCACCAAGGAAGAGTTTGGATTTGTACTGACCAGGAAGTTCAGCAGCGACGCCATTGAGTCCCTGTTTGGCTCATTGAGACGATCTCAAGGGTGCAATGACCAGCTTAGCGTTCGGGCTGGAATCTCAGGAATTGAAAAGATCCTGAAGACTGGTCTCATCACAGCTTCCCAGCAGAGCAATGTGTCACATGCTGCCTCGACCTCATCGGGTATGACTTCAGCAATTCGGTGCATACCACCAGCAGTGTCAGCTGCCACGCCATTCCAACTTCCACAGAGTGCAGCGGAAATCTTAGAAAAGCTGTCAGATCCCAATGTACAATACCTGCCAAGCCTCGAGCTGTCGGCGACAGCGCACGTTGGGGGCTACATTGCCCGTGTTGTACAAGAACACTTTTCATGCTTCTTCTGCATACCTCTTCTTACAAAGCCGAAGACAAACAGTGCCTTGCAAGGGATCACAAACCACCTGGACCGGGGAGGCCTTTTGTATCCCTCAGATGAACTTGCCCACCTTCTCAATGTCCTCAGGATGTTTGCAGCGGATGTGTTGTCGTACAACCTCAGGAATTGGCAGCCCCTCGAAACTCTTGTGAAGTTTGCACTGCCAGCAGTGTATGACTCTCCTTTGCTGCTCTGCCCAACGAACAACAAGGCTCATCGCCGTGAACTGATCCATCTTGTCTGCACAAAGTTCTTCAGACCGCTCCTTGTTAACTATGCCTTCTGTCACACAGACAGGAACGATAGATTTAAGATGTTTGCACGAAAGCCTCTATCTCGGAAGTTTCAGAAGGTGAGGTAGAGTGCACGCAAAGGTAGATTAGAGCAGTGTTTTTTTTTCTTTTTTCTTTTTCTACCTTTAGTCAAGCGGAACTCTGTTCATATGTATTTTATTTGGCCTTGGCATTTAGTGATTTTGTGTCCGAGTTGGTCTTTCTGCGCAAATTATATGATATATGTATAAAGATTATATTTGTTTCCAATGAGTTTACTGGGTGCCTTTACTCCCGCTAATAAATCCAGCACCTGCTACAAGTCGGTTTTCCCTTAAATTTGGTCGGATTTCCAGCACTCGTCACTGCAACGTGACTCGATCACGTTCCACCGGTAACATAGCACAACACTGCAGCAATGTTTTGTGTTGCTAGGGTTTGTTTTAATGCGTTGAAACGCATCAATTATAAAAAAGGGAGACAAAATGTTGTTGCAAAACTTCTTTCAGCAGAACTGCTGTCCCTTATTTAGACACAGTTCGATTCTTGCTTATCACTGCTCACGACGTAACATTTTTTTTTTTTTCATTTAGATAATTTAACATGCTGAAAATTTAGACACGACGCAATATTATCATATGGAAAGCCTTTGACCAGCGCGACTGCGTAATATAGAAAGCCGAACTCTCGACCGACGTTTCACTGCCTTGCCTGACCTTAATTTTGCTCTTTTCTGACTATCGAGCTTGCAAACCCTGCTGGGGGAAATTATTAATACCGCAGCGCTTTTCCTACTTACGCACAACTCAGGTTAAGATTGCGTTGTAACCCAGATACTGCTCCTCATCCGGGGTTTGAGTCCAATCACAGCGGCTCATGGGGTTCTCACCGAGTTGCCGCCGTGCACGCCGATATTTGGCCATTTGGCCGCCGAGCACGTCCGGCGAATCTTCTGCTCCCTTCGGGAAGGGCCATGGGCTTCACCGCACAACACAACATGTACGCCTAGCTGGCGCCGCCACGCGGGAACCACACGCACTTTTTGCCGGCCGCCTTTGCATTGCCGGAGCCACGAGCTGACGGGCATTGTACACTTATATAGGAGGCGCTGCCCAGCCCAACACCCCAAAACGTCGAGCGCCATGTTGCTTCTGCCTTGAAGCGGTACGGCGGACGTAGCAGCCGAAGGTGAGTGTTTGATTTTTTTTTATCAAGTTTGTATAGAATGTAGCACGTCTCAGATTTTTATTACATGACATTCAAGAACGTTAGATTTGCTTTGAGCAAGCCGGCTCAGGCGTTAAGCCCGATTCACACAACCGGCGTTTAGCCACCCCGTCGATTGGAAACAACTCGACTGCTCGCCGGTTCTTTTGCGCGAGCTTTCGCTCGGGCGCTGTGAACCCTATGAACTGTGGTGCTCAAAGCTAGCACAATTAGGCACGGCTAGCGTCCCGGTGGAAGCTGCAGAAAGCGGAAACCGAAGACACCGTCGCATAAGAGTGGCGAAGCCGCGATCCTGCGCTGATCGTTGTCCCGCCGCTCTCTCCGGCAATATCGACACTTCGCTGCTGGGTGTCTCGTATTTCGACGTTTTAGAGAAACTTGGCATTGGCAAGCGCGAGGAGTCTCTATATCGTTTTCTCCGTCGCCTGCGTGGAGGAAACACGGTGGCGATAGAAACATATGCTCATGCAGTCAGTCAACTTGGACAATCCCCCTGTTCCCTCAATCCTATCGCATTCTTTGACTGCGTTTGTGACAACAACGTTTCCCCAGTGTGAAAGCTTTCAGTCACAACGGGCTACAAACTGGGTTGTGCATTGCATGTAGCCCTGAGGGAATTCTTCGCCGGAGACACCAGCACATTAGTTTCATTGGTAAGGTGACCGGCCACTAACGTGTTTGGCAAATGAAGCGATCACGGGTAAGTAGAAATGCAAACAATGTTGAATGAATATTAAGGTGGTTGTAGCCAGAGCCTGCCAGTTGAAATCAACCTTTAACAATATAGTCTGCGGTAACTTCTTTTTGCACTTAGGATTGCAATTTTAAACACAAAGCCACTCCACATAGCTGTCGAAAATCGTGTAAACATTAGCAGTCATCGTCCCCGGTTCGGATGAGCGAAGCCTTAGCTTGATGAAAAGAATGGCGGTCTATACTTCTTGGTTGTTTCAATCACAACCTCGCACAGCTGAACAGACAAACAAATCAAGGAAATATATCCCGCGCTGGCTTGCAAATCAGAGCACTCAAGCAGGGTACATAGCAGAGCAGAAAACACTGGCAATGAGCACACGGAGGCATGCAGCTTCCTTTCTTTTTCCCTCGGCGAATGATTGGTTTGCTGCAGCATTCCGTAAGCACGTCGACATTCAAAAGTTGAGCCTGATCTGTCTTGCAGTGCCTTGCGGAACGGCAAGTATCGCCCACCATTCCACAAGGCACTGCAGGACTCGCAAATGTGTGAACAGTGCTTTGCAATAAAGGCCATGATCGGGCAGCAGGTGCCCATCTAAAGACATTTAATATTGATTGGCATTGAACTAACCTTTGGGCTTCATCACGTAGCAAGCATGGGTGACGTATAATTCAAGAACATTTAATGTTCGACGAGTTTAATACGTTGTGGTGCTTTCCCATCTGTTTCGGTGTCACGGAGTGGGGTTCAAATTAATAAAAATAATTCAATGATCCCTTCTGAGAATAAATGAGAAATTACGGGAAAAGAACAAGAGAGCTAAGTTCGACCATTGACTAGCGCTAGGTCCGCGCCTGGTGTATAATCAGTAGAGAAAGATGATGACACAGGGAGGATAAGCAAACAAAAGATTAGATTTAATAAAGTGAAAAACTAAGCTGTACAGGGCAATAGAGCACTCAATACAAACCACACTCCAGCTCAAAGCTATGGAGCCCTGCAAGCCAGAAACTAATACTAAAAAGACTCGACGCTCATAAAACCGGAATAAGCCAACAAAACAGTGACGAAAACCCGACACTAACAACGAGAGCAAACCGAGATGGAGCTCGAACGTTACCGCTACACACATGGGATAATCCCCCAAAACAGTCGCGACAGAAAGTAGCACTGTGTAAAAATCTTCCTAACATTGAACAATTCATACTTCAGAGCCAGAGAATGCAGTAGACAAGTCCTAGAAAACCAGGCTTAGCTTTCCGGTAGGTGCCGAGTCCAGAGCAGTCCGTAGTCTGGAGTTGTCGGCCGAAGAACGGCGTCTCGAAGTCCAGCGGTTCAATTAGAGGCTTGATGAGGTCGACACCGCGCACCACACAGCCACACACGCTTCAGCACAACAAACTCAAACACTTGTCCGACAGGCAGGGCAGAAGCCAAAAATTACACGTTCCAAGACTCATCTGCAGGGAGTAACCGCGTTGAGTAGCGACCCGGCCAGCTCGGGGGTTGGACTACCTTCTTTGTTCCCGAACCCCCTTTTATAGGCTCGTCTACCGACCAACCTCCCGTTTTCCCGCCTTTCGGGTCAGTCAACTTTCAAGAAAAACAAAGCTACACAGCAACGACCCAAATGGCAAAACCTATTACATTTTTCAGACAACCAAACATATGTGCCCATCCATTCCCCCGTACGAGTCCAAAAACATCAATTATCGCCGATACATAGATACGGCGGCAGACTGAGCAAAGCCGCCGCCTTCAAAAAGCGTGCTAGCCAGCGTAAACATCTTTGTATCCCGGCGGCGCCCCTGCATGTCAAATCGGCACCATACGCGAGCCAGCATATGCACCCCTCCGTCCGCGAGGTCAAAGCCACAAACTGTGACCTGGGATGATCTACATCGCCCGTTAACAAAAACCCATTCCGCAAACGAGCAAATTCGTTGGGGACTTAGAAAGGAACTACGACGGGACGAACTCAGATTAAAAGTGGCACCACACTCCCCCTTTTTGACCGTACCAACACTTAAAGTGGTCCAAAAAAAAGATCATAAAAGTATTTAACAAAATGAAGAGAAGCCTGAATTTGTGACACCCGGTTTCTCCATCCTGTGTTATTTTTTGTGCTTTTTCTATTACGAAGCGAGACATTATTCCAGCCGTAGGCACCAGATGTAATTCCCGTCTGCGATCATAAGATTATAGGATCCTAACTGCCGGCAGCTAAGTGTCAATTACATCCGGCTTGTGCATACAGTGCAACATCTTTTGCTATTCAGCCGATCATCACTTTACAGCCTGGGTATCTGTTCTTGTAAACGACAGTAGTGCTACATGTTAAACGGCTCCAAAGCGATAGAGCAAACTCACATCTCATTATCTTTTAGCTGAATAAACTGTTTGTTTGGTTATGCTTGTTATCCAATTTTCGTTTTAAATTTAATTTTCTCATATAAACACCTTACATAATAGAAAAAAAATCTTTTTATAGTACGGAGGTGTCCATAGTAAGAAGACATGACTGTATCATCTTTGAAACTAGTTTGCCACAGCCAGTGTTATAATATGTATTGATTTTTTATGCAGTGCCTGCCTTTCCTTGCCCCTTGTGAGGACGACTGAGAAAGCGACTTTGCGCCACAGCGACGGATGGCAAGTGTCCCAAGTGTCGTCACCTATAGTGGTCATGTGCTATGTGTTTGCAGCATTGTAGGTTGACCGTGGAGCACTTTCAAAAGGGAACTTTCGCCATGTGCACAGTATGGCCGTGTACAATACGGGGCACGTACAGTCAGAAGAATTATGAGAGGGAACATGCGGGCGCGTGTCACTTGGTACAGGCAGAGCAGCCTTGCAAGTGTCATGCTTGTGCACTGAGGGGCCCTGGTTTGAAGAGCCGAGGCAGAAGTTTCAGCGGCGGTGTCACCGCCCTGGCGGCTTGTCGCCGAAGCAGAAACGGGGTTAGCTAGCTTTGCTCGTGGCTGGCTTTGTGTAGTGTGTGTAGACCGGGAACGTAGGCTTATGAACTTCGGCAACAAGAATACTACACGGCTTTGGTGTTTTGGTACGAGCAACAAACGTGACACTATCTGCTACGGCTAGCTACGACCACCCACCGCAGCGGTGAAGGCATCGAAGAAGCAGAACCTGTGTATTACGCCGTTGCCGTAACCCAACAGTGCTCATTTGTCATGGAGGGCTTTCCGCCCAGAGACTTTGCTCGTCACTGAGTGTTATTTCCCGTGTTTCTCTTTGTGTGCTCAGTGGCTAGACGGGCCTCATACAGCAGTTCTTCAGGCTCAAAGGTGACTAAAAGTTGAGGGTGGATGGGCTTGCAGCAATCCCCTCGGTTGGTGCGTGTGACAGAACCTTTGTACGGCATCATCGGGAGGATGCTGTTGTGAGTTAGCAAGTTGTCCAATTGTATGTTCATTATGCTAATATTTGAAAAAGCTTGTTTAAAAGGATGCTGGACCAAAATTTGGATTTCATAAAATAAGGCCGCGGAAGCTTTGAATGGGAGCTCTACAAAC